GGATCTCTTAAGCAACAGCGCGCGGGCTCGGGCCTCGGAACTTGGGTATGACTGACTAATGGCGGCTAATAAACCAGAAATTACCAGTCCAGTTCCCTTGTCTTGTCGGTAATTTCATTCGGTCTTTTAGGTCCGCCCGTTACTGAGGGAGTTTCATGCCGATACTGGCTAGAGCAGTGATCCAGCTCGGTCCATCCAACCTTGATGAGATCATACATGAAAAGTATGCGAGACAGTCGCCTGCAGAGGATCTCGTGAGATCGATCTACGCCCCTTCAAAAGTACAAAGACCGAGAATAAAAGAGTCACAGACAAACTCATTATCGTGACGAACTACGTCAAGTCAGATTTTGGCAAAAAATTGTATCAATGCCTCCGATTAGATTCGATAGTGCAGAGGTAAGCAGGGTGAGCGTCAGGAGGCAGATTTGTTCAAGGCCAGGCAACTCCTTAAATAGCGGAGGTCGTTGCGGGACCACACCAATATATTTGGACGGCGATTTCGATTAAGTCCACGAAGTGCACCAACAGGTTACTACAGAATATGACAGTCCCAAAGGGTAGATTATAGTGGTGGAGGACGTAGTCAACGCCAACCGCACTCTTCACCATAGCCCGCGGTCAAGAAGACGAAACGGAACCCGGCATTGACCACTTTCTCCAATACAGGCAAGAAACACCGTCTAACGTAGTATTAAGTGACAGTAGACTTTGCGCCGGCACTACTGCACTACCAACCCTCACTCACTCTTGGTAGGTGTCAGGAAAGGCTCAAGGAGACCGAGACTGATACGGTTACTAATATTTCTACTACTATTGACTACTAATGTATCGGCTACAGTAGTCGGTTGGTGACAGTTACAGCAGAACTCCACCTTGTCTCGGAGTGTGAATATTTTCTTCGTGTATCAAAATGCAGATGGGGGGAGGGAGCTGACTTATTTAGGTCTTGTCCTTGCATCACACGTACGTTAAAACCATGTATTCGAGCCACCAATATAAAGGGCCTGCTCTTAGTGGAGTAGCCCAGCGTACCAACCATTCACCTAAGTCACAGCCAAGTGTCTCCGATCGTGCCGATGCTACAGATGTAAGAATAATGTTTAAAAACTGTATTCAAGAAACATTCAGAATTCCCTTTAAATAATATAACCAACTGTCAGTATTTTTAACCGCTTTTAACAGACATAAAAAATCATATTTTCTGTGATGTTATTTTTCCAAAAAATTAGTACATTTTAACTTGGGGATGGACGAAGTATCTTAAGGGACTAGGCAAAATTAAGTGAAGACCAACGACGAACGAAACCCAAACAAGACGGTCAATTTGACTAAGTCGCCGAATTCATCCGAAGATTAATTTAATTAGGATTACGCCGAGGTTGGCTTCACTTAATCCTAAAAAAGAGCCTTCCCCCACAAAGTTTGCTTTTTTAATAATGCCGAAAACTAAAGTTATTTTACTGCGGACCTTTGGAAGAAATTTGGCGCAAAAGCATTCTTTGGTGAAATGCAGGCCAAAAGACTTGCCTCGGAAACTTTGATCTAACATAAAATTATCACTGCAGAAGCTGCGAATGCTCAGTTTGAGCCCGGGGAGCGTTGGAATTGCGAGTTGCGAAGACGAACTTTTTAAGCATAGAAGCAAACACGCATGGGGGTGCTGGAAATTGCATTTTTGTCGACGTTACAGATTGCTTTTGAGTTAATGATCAGCAGTATAATCGTCCAGCGGCCGACGCATATTCCGTCACTCCTTCATGTAAGTTTATGTGGCACTTTAGATTAGTTAAGCGATATTCCTGAGAGCATCCTCTGCGGGCCTTTCAAATTGAGCCGCCGCTTTTTCCTGCCTCCATTCGCATGTAGATTATCTTATATATACATCGGTCGGGCTACTTTGCCCATTAGGTATAAACCGATTTTTATCCCTCTTCATTTATTTGAAGCACAATGAGCTCATCAGTACACGACGCTAGCGCCGTTTTGAAAGCAGTCCAATTTGGCCTATATTTCACGAATTTTTCAAGGATATCTATCTACGATGTCGACAATTGCAGTCATTGAAAATTATGCTTTTTCCTTTTGATATCCCAGTGCTGTGGGTTTGTGCGTCTTATTTTATTCCCTCCGAATGGAGGGCGGTTTTGCTGAAATTTTTGGAATTATATTTTTAAAATAGAGCGTATCTCTCTCTTGTTAATTATGTGAATTCCAGGAGGAAAATCCCTGCTGTTTCAGTTTCGCCAATGTACTAAAAAGAAAATGGTTGCCAGCTGCTTTCGACCGCAAAACTGAAGGAGGCGATCAGATAAAGTGAACATCGTGAGCCTCTGAAGCAGACTGTTGATTCAAAAGGCTTCTGTGTGGATTTCCGGGTACCTGTTTTGAATCCGCGTGTGTTGGACACACATGGAATTCTACATTAGATTACATATTTCACAGTTCCGATACCATAGGCTCTTTTCAAAGCAAATGGGAACGGTGGAGGACCCACTTTCTTACTGAAACCCTCGCAACTGCGTCATGCAGTGATAAACGGTCGGCGAAACACGCGTGTGTGAGATTTCAGCTAGTGGCTGTGCTATCTGTACGGTGAATCTTTCAGTAACTACTCAAACAGCCTATAGCGTAGACAAGTGAAGCTGTGAGAGTTCCTAATTACGCCAATCGTTCATAAGTTTTTTTTCCTAATTTATATAAGTTAATGGACTTCGAGCAGAGGCTACCTGCTTAAGCATGCAGCAGTTTGGAGACTTCTGAGGGGAGATCTAATATCGCGTTTTAATCTCTTGCTAACTTGTTCGCCCTTCCTGATACTGAAAAAAGGTTTAAAACTTTCTCAGGACAGCTTTATTGTTCGCCTTGACTCTCCTTATCGATCCCTTCAAACCACCGAACAAATAAGATATAAGCTTGCAAGCTTCACAAAAACATCGCAAACTGAAAAAAAATGCAAGGAGGTGTCTCAGCAAACTAGGAAGGTAATAAATGCGCCCTCTAATTGTTTTCGAGGTGTTGATGTTCCTCCAAAACAAAAGCTTTATAACGCAATAAACCTCATCTCATCACCCACTAAAAACCACCCCTCGCCTTAAGCAGGATGCACTATTTTCAAAATAAGTAATTTTTTTGCATTTGTTGAAAAATAGTTGCGATCACAGTCAAAAGAATTTAAACTAAAACTGGGCGAAAGAAACGCAAATATACATATTCCTTTTCAGTTTTTTGAGGGTTAAATAGTGTGCTCCGTTGAAAAACACTTAATGCATTCAATCTTTTTTAAAAAGGTAAGAGAAACTGCGGTAAAACACTGAGTACAAAAGACCGCATTCCGATTCATTTCACGAGATTTCCGTATAAATCGTTCTGAAGCATCTTTTCCCAGGTACAAATTTGAAGATTGCCTATGTAGCAAAATTTAATGGAACCATAAATTTCGCGAGCACTCATCAGCTGCTTCCACTCGCTGCATAAACTAAGTAACGAATGATAAATTACAGAATTGAATTCATACAGAAAATTCGATACAAAAAAACATCAAGGTCACTAGAATTGGCCAAGGGGCAGTCAATAAAGCAGGAAATTCAAACACTGTGGGCAGCAAAAAATAGTGTTAAAACGTCTAAGGCAAAAAACGTCTAAGGCAAAAAACGTCTAAGGCTATTAAAACAGGAGAACGGAACTCCTCGTTCTTCCATTCCGGAACACCTATTGGATACCGGTCATTCTGTTGACCCTAAAACATCCTTCCGAGTACTTGTTCCGGCACGAACAACTTGTCTCTTGCGCTACCTGGAGGCAGCATGCATACGGCGGTTTAAACCTGACCTATGTAAACAAATGGAGCATGTGGTGAATCCAACCCTGCCGTGGTAGCACCGGCTCCCTATTTACACATCCCCCTTCCCACCTTTTTGCCTTAGACGTTTTTACACCGTTTTTTGCTGCCCACAGTGTTTGAATTTCCTGCTTTATTGATTGCCCCTTGGCCAATTCTAGTGACCTTGATGTTTTTTTGTATCGAATTTTCTGTATGAATTCAATTCTGTAATTTATCATTCGTTACTTAGTTTATGCAGCGAGTGGAAGCAGCTGATGAGTGCTCGCGAAATTTATGGTTCCATTAAATTTTGCTACATACGCAATCTTCAAATAAATCGTTTTCCTAGCTGAGACACCAATACGCCTCCGCATAAATTTTTTTCGAAGTGGCCTTTTAGCACGTGGTCCTAGAACAGAAACGGCATGTTGCGCAGCTGTCTTTGGACTTTTAGTTTGTTTTGTTTAATGTAAAATCCATGTATCCATGGCGCTGGCAAGTTAATGTGTTTCAGCCCCTTATAGGCAACCAGGCTAATTCCGTGAGGGGGCAGGAAAGCCGAAACCACTATGGCACAGCCTCCTGGCGATTCTAACGTTCCACTGCCACACGCGAACTCGAGGTGTGGACAGGAGTTATTGACGTCCCCCGGTCTCCCTTTAAGTATAAAGGATAACAATAGAGGGAAGTGCCAAGGCACAAAAAGGAGTATTTGAGGAGAACAACA